GTTTCTTGAGAGCCAAGTGCAGGAGGTGGAATTTAATGAATTTTAAACGTATCTCGTGTCTAGTAAGCGTTGCAGGTAAATGGGTGCTGCTCTGTACCATAGACGCTCCTTCCCTCAGAGTCTTAGGCTGGGAGTTCTTGATGCTGCACAAACACTGGAGATTTGTGTCTTGGAAATGAAGCTCCAGCACTGGAGCAAAGCTGATCCCAGCCCTTTAAATCTAATAATGCCTGTTGTCAGCATTCAAAGGCCAGACACCTTCTTGACAGCTCCTAATTCCACTCTGAGTGGCCATGGGTATGAATAGGACACGTCTTGGTGGACATGCAAATATGTCCAGTTCTATTTAACAAAGATAAATACCTTAATGAAGGTAAGGAACCGCCTGGGGTATTTTGAAGATTAGACAAGCTGAGCTGCACATTAAGAGCTTGGCACAGAAACTTTGGCTGCTCTTGCAGAGAACTCGTGCAGTCCTCACAACTGTGACAGGATGCAGCTCTGCAGCCCAGTGCTACCTGAGATGCTCTGTGGTGAAGGGGTGTCACTGATGCTGGCCACCAGCCCAAGCCTTCACACACTGGCTCAAAGCAAGCATGTCCAGTTCCCACACTGATCTGTCTTGGCCAGCAAGCAATAAATGCTCTTGACAGAGCAGCTTTAACCATCCCCTGACGTGCTGCTGGTGAAGACTGACGAAATTCGTGATGAATTTCTGTCTTCAAACTGTTGTCACATCCAGTTTTTCATCCCCTTCCTAAAAGCCTTTTAAAAGATTACATTTTTAATCATGACTAGGCAAGTGCTGAAGCCACCAGGGCCCTGGCGTGGAGCTGGAGCTCACAAGGGAATGTGGCAGCCACATTGCTACTGTGGAGATGCTCAAAGGCAGGAACCAAACAATGGAGCGCATGAGCACCTCCAGGGTGGGCCGGTGGCTGAGCCTGCACAGAGCCCTGCTGGGGCGAGTGGTACTGCTGAAACAAAACGCTTGCAGAGCTTAACTAACTAACAGGATAGACATCATCTAGTTTGTTATTGGCTTTTGGGTGCTCCTTGGAGCTTGTAAAGAAGAGTGTATTGGGCTCTTGGGACAGCAGTAGCCTGTCCCAGGAGGAGACTTTGTCTTGGTGCTTCTCCAGAGTTTCTCTGGAGTGTTTTTGTATGGGAAGTGTGAGCTGGATCTGGGCTGAGGTAGCTAGTGTTTGGCCCAGGCTGCCTGCAGGAGCCACAGAGGAACGCCTCCAGCTGTGCCTCCATGTAGAAGGCAGCCAGTGATGGGCATGGACCTCCTGGATGCTCACTGATGCTGGAGGAGCTGAAGGGAGGGAAAGGGAAGAGAGTGTGGGCTGTTGGTCAGCGTGTGTGTTTCAGCACACACTGTGTTGAGACTGAGGTGGTGATCAGGGTCAGGACACAGTGCTAAATGCAGGTGAATGAGCCACAAGAGAGAAAATGGCAGCAGGGACGTGGAGGCAGGGATTGCTATTTCACATTGGAACATGCGCACATCCCAGCAGGCAGTGGCTCGGTGTGCTGGGGTGGTCCTGTGCTGTCAGCAGAGATATGCTGATGTGTGCCCCTGTGGACATCACCTCCACTTCGCTGTCCTCAGCACTGTGAAACATGAACCTGTTTTGTGCAGTGTAGCTGGTGCACGCCGTGGGAGCCCCTTTGGGGTGCTGTGTACCTCTGAACATGTCCCTCACCTCCTGAGCCCAAACCACTGCAGCCACTGGCTCATCCACATAGCGTGCCTTGAAGGGGAGAGGCTCATGTCAGTACCTGGAGCAGAGTGTGCTCAGCCATTGACACACAGGTTTGCATTCCCTGGCTGTGATTTGAAAGCTCTGTATCTTCCCTCCGTAGCAGCTCACTGTGCTACCCAGCAGAGGAATCTGAATTATTCCTTGCAGGAGCAGAGCCCCAGCTTAGCAGCTTTCTCTGCAATCCTGAGACCTCCTGGCTGCCTCACCACTGAAATGACCAAGTGCAAGGAGGCTCTCAAGAAGCCTCCAGGGTGAAATGCAGCTTTTTTTAAGAAAAAGAAACTGAAAAAAAAGTCTTACATAAGTCAAAACATCTGCTGGTGCATGACTAATGCCTTCCCTCCTCCCCTGGCGCAGTAACAGAAGTTCACAGGAATTATATAAATGATTGTTTCCTGTAAAAAATTATACATTGTTCATAAGCCTTTTGGGGACAAACCTTGCTTTCAGCCATCCATTACCTTGTGGTGTTTACTCATAGTTTTGGACCCACTGCATTTCTGAAATGAACCCTCAACAACAAAGTCCAAACCTATTGCTCCCAGCCTGGCTGGTGCGAGGGTGGCTTTATTCCTGCCAGAGGCAACTGAACTGGGACAGTTATCTCTGTTTTAAACCAGAGGTTACTGATGTGCAGTGCTGACAGCTGGATCAAGCGGGCTCTGAGTGATGGCGCTGGGGTGTGTGCAGTGTGGTACCCACCGGTGTCCCGGTGTGGCAGCCTCGGGTGGCACCAGCCATGCCATCCCAGACACAGAGGTGTCGGTGCCTCCCCAGGGAAGCGCTGATGGGAAGCAAGTGCAATGGCACAGCCCAGGATTTGCATCTTTTTGGTTTAGGGATGTGTATTGGCACATGCTGGGAAAATTATGTTACGGTTGGGTTGTCTTGCGGGAAGCACAAGGAAAAGTTTTAAAGCCCTGACAGCTAAACCAGCCTCAAGACATTATTTCATTCAAGCTTTCCCATTCTGGCAGCGCTCCTCTGAAATATCTTTGTAACTTCTTTGCTCACTTGCTTGCCTCTTGCTGGTTTAAACTTTTGATGAGTCCAGCTGGCTGATGTAGGGGGGAGGGAATAAGGTGCTCCCTGCCCATCTCTTCCTGCTGCTCTGCAGTGGGAAACCCACAAAGACTCATGTGGGCTGGAGCCCTCTGCACAGGCAAAGGCTTCTACCTCCTCTGTGTCCCAGCAGAAACACTGCTGCTGTGGTCTGCCCAGTACCACCCAGTGGGGAACTGGGATAAATCACTTCTGTGCTGGATTTATAATGATCAATCTTGCTTGAGGTTTGTCCTTGTTTTCCCACATGGATCTCTCAATTCTGGACATTTTGGGTCTGTGTCTCTGTTTAGGCTAGTGTGAGCTCACTGTCCATGGTAGAAAGGCTCGGGTTACCAACTCTGATCCCTGAGTCTGAGGTTTCAGGGTGTTTTGCTGAAAACAAGCCTCTTGGCACAAAAAGCTGAAGCAGGAGTGTGTATGCACTGACCATTGAGCTTCTTTCAGAGACAGTGACCCCACAAACCTGTGTGCAGCCGGGTGGGGGATCTGACAGCACATTCATGTCAGACCTTCCTACCTGGCCCCAGCACAAGGCACACTGGCACCACTGTTCCCCATGCTGCTGGCCACAGTGCCACCTGGGAGGAGCAGCATGCTGGGTCTGGAAGGGATGAGTGCTTCTGGCAGAAGGAGCCGGTGCCTGGAGCTCTGGCTGTCCAGGATGATGGCTGGGGCTGCCTCTGCAGGGCTGGGGAAACAGGGTTGGTTTGTTTCCTGCAGCCAATGCCTTTCTCCCCAGCACTTCTCTTCCCTTGGCTGTGGCTGAAGCAGCTGGATGGACACAGAGTTTGTGTCAGCTTTCCAAATATTGCACTGCTCCGGGATTCTGCTTTTCTGTGTTCTGGAGGTAAACCGCTGCTAACATTACTAATGGACTTCTGCTTTTAGCCTGAGTGCTGCAGGCAGCTGTACCAAGGTGGAAATCATGGACTCAATTAAGTAATTACCTGGTGTTCCAGTTCCCAACATACGAGGCTTTTTGGTTTTTACCACTGGCGTCAAACCCTACCTGCATCTTACCCCAGACTCATCAGCAATGATTTGTCCAAACCACTGTGCCCTGTGCTTTCAGGTGGATGTGAGGTGACGTGAGGGAGCCAGGCACCCTCCTGCCCTTTGGAACTCACCATCTCCCTGTGGCAGGGCTTGAGAAGTGGTCATGGATGGCCAGAGCCTGTCCTGGCACTTTCTGACTGGTGCCCAGTAAGAGTCAGCACAGTCAGGGCTGTGCTCACTGCTGGCATGGAGTGTGATCCTTTGGCCAGCAGAGTTGTGTGGTTGTGCTGGCCAGGAGAATTTAATACATCAACTTCTGGACTTTGCAGAAGAATGGGCTCTAAACCCTGAGTATTTCATCACCGTAACAGGATTCAGCTCATCACAGTGCAGCGCTGACAGAGCCACCCAGCACGGTTCATGTGAACATCAGGTGTGAGTCCTGAGGCTGCTGATGCTTTGGAACATTCCCAACAGGACAAGGATCACTGGAGAGCTGTGCTGTGGGTGCCTTTGTGCTGCGTTGACCAGGAGGAGGAGCAGACCCGAAGCAGATGTCAGAGTGGATCCTGGCTGTCTGTGGCTGGGTTTGTGCTCTCTGCCATGCAGATCAGTGCAAGTGGATTCCAGGTGGTAGATGCTGCTTTGGGAGCATCAGTCAGAGCCTGTTTTCTAGAGTCTGTAGCTCTGGCTGTGCCCTGTGGCATTTCACCATGTGCAGGACCTGCCTCTGCTGTGAGAGCATCAGCATCCCAGCCATCATCCCAGTCCTGACCAAGGAAGCCTGTGTATAAATGTGATATCCAGCAGTCATACAGGAGATACAGGCCCGTAGTCTGCTCTACAGGAAAGAACTGACTGGTTTCTCAGAGCCTGGAACAGCTGCCTGTTGTGAGGTAACCACAGGAATAGCTTTGCCATTTAGTGAGCAGCTCTGAGCAATATGCAGAAAGCTGGCTTCAGTGAAAAATGCAATGCTTCTTACCCCATATTCATACAGAGAAGGAAGCACAGTTTAGTACGTGCAAGTTTATGATAAGAATACTTACTTACAGAACAAGAACCCTTGAGCATGGCCTCTGTGACCATCTGCCACACCGAACCTCCACTGATTTGTGCTTCCAGTGGATTTTTAATTAATACCATTATTTTCTTTCTCTTGTTCTGCAGTAATTAGAAGCAGCGCATCGGCTGGCAGCAAGTACTGCAGTGCCACGACTGCAGGAGGAGCCACACAGCCCCACGAGTACACCCTAGGGTGGGGAGCAAAAAGGCAGTGTAGGGTTAGGGATGAGAAGGTAAGAATGTGGAAAGAAATGATGCAGAAGGGTAATAATGAGAAAGAAAGAATGCAAGATTTAGCTATGCTTAATGGCCGGGGATGACAGCAAGCTCCTTTTGCCTGTTACATGATTTCTGGGAGTCCCAGAGAACATGAGACTGGAGGAGAAAACAGATGATTCCAGGTACTGGAACTGTATTGGGGGACCTCATTTAAAATGATCTGGGTAAGGTGTGATGGGATAAGTGATGACAAAGAATCTTGTTCATCCAGTTGCCCAGAAGATGCACAAATAACAGGGAATGAGCTCCTGTTTATGGTGCCATGAAAACGTTCAGTCTCTTTGCTAAAGCCTCTGAGGGATGAAGCAATTCTTGTCACTCATGCCTCTGACAGGACTGGTGTCAAGCAGAGAAACTGGGACAGGAACCTGGTCTGGAAGAGCAGCTACCAAGGAAAAGGAAGCTTTGAGCACAGCTGTGTGGATGCTGGGTGCCTGCAGGGAGCTCTGCCTGTGCTTGCTGCCAGGTCCTGTCTCACACATGTGTGTCTGTGTCTGGGAAAGGGCACTGAATGTGCCGTGTCGGGCTGTGCAACGGGAGGTGCAATGGGAGATCACAGCCCCTCTGCCCACCTGTGTGGCAGAATGACTCTAAAACCACCGGCTGTAGCTGCATACACAGCAGCTGCTTTAAAGGTGACTTAAAAATCACTTCTGTTTCTTTCATCTTCTCTGTTTAGAGAAGAGTAGGAACACCAGGGCCATCCAGGACCAATAGGTACCACATTCAACAGCATACAGAAGAGGTTTTTCCCGCAATAACATAGCAGCACATAAAAGCCAGGGGACATTGACATCAATAATAGCGCCTCACTGTTAGGTCATATGTTAGTGTACAAATATATTCAGTTCTGCTTGTTCATAGATGATTAATTAGCTGAGATGTCTGATTAAATTGCAAATTAAAGGCTGGCAAATGTCATACGAGTTCAAGTGTTCTGATTTTGCAGATAAGGCTGACTGACAATTCTCAGTGAAATTCTGGTGGGGAAGCAAGTATTAAACATCTATTATGTTTGGTAGAAAAAGGACTTGCTCTCATGGGACGCTGAATTAGAAACACACTTAATTTTGAGTTTATCACAATGAAATAGCCTCACTTTTTGTTGCAAAAGTCATTACTTGGAAGACTGAATTACAAGAAAGGAAAAAGGTAAATCAGAAGCAGCAGTGGTAGAAGTGCTCTAAATTATTGTAGCAATGTCTGGTTAATCTTGAACCAACCCTTTTCACAAATTGTAGATTTCCCTCCCCTAGTTGTACGTTTCAGTCCCATTAAATTTGGGTCTGGGAAATGCCTTAGAATCTCAGCTTTATCATGGGCAGAAGAGTTTTCTTTACAGGCTGAGTTATGGATATCTATTTATCACCATCCAGCAAGCAGTCTCACTTGTGCACTGCAAGTACCATGAAGTGGCTGGAGCTGTTTTTTCTGCAGCTCCTCTGGTTATGAATTGCTCTTTCTTTCCCTGTTTATTTTCACTGCTAATACATAAATCAGGCGTAAAAAGGCTAAGTTGACTTGGAGCTGGAATTGACGTTCATAGTTCTCTTGTTCGAGCTATTTTACAACCCGTTTATTTGAGGAGCAGCAGTTAATCCAGCGCAGTGAAGAGATAAATGCATCACAGGTGGCAAACAGCAGCACGAGGAGCAGCAAGTCTTTGCTGAGGGACAGTAAGTGAAGCCAAGATCCAGGGAGATGTATCTGCAGCGGCTGCTGAAGACTCATCAGCAACCTGGTGAGAAGGTGCTGAAAGTGTTGGGACAAACTGCTCTGTGGCAGCCAGGGCTGGTGGGAAGGGGAGGATCACAGTATGGTTTGGGTTGGAAATTCCATGATCAGCTGCAGGGCTTGATGGCAAGAATTATATTCCTAAATAAACCAAAGTTGGAAAATGCTGGCCAGAGCCCAGTGAAAAGATCTTCACCCCCTCTTGCACTACTGAGTGATAAATGGTGGGAAAACAAATGTGTTCTGGAGCAGTAGCAGGTTTGGGGAATGATGCTTTACTCAAAGTGGCCTTGCTGTCAGCACCTTCCTGCTGCTTGACTCCTTTGACTGCCTCCCGGTGTTCTTCCGGCTGCCTTCTGGGAAAGGGAAATATAAGCCAAGAAAAGCTAGAGAAGCTTGTAAAAGATTTATGCACAATAATGTGTGGACATGGGAGGACCTCCTGACTTTCAGTCCCTGACTGCAGCGCTGGGCACGTGGCTGCCATTATTTGAGCCCTTTGTAGGTTTACTAAGTGATGAACAGGGCCAGAGCTTGAGAGAATGGTGCCCTGGAAGATTACAAGGCAAATCTTTGGAAACCAAAACCAGATGATCAGTTTGCTTTAAGACATTCCCAAACAAGATGTTTAATGCTAAGGCAAAGACCTCTTGATGAGGGAGAAGAGATTCTTGGCTTATGTGGGGAAACGGCAAAAGAACTGTTTCTCCACTGCCATAGCAAAGCAAGCTGTTCAGAGCTGCTGTGCTTAAACAGCCCACAATGATATAGCACAGAATGTTGCCTTTTAAAATCATTATTGAAACAACTTTTTCGGGGAACTTAACCTTTTCTTAATTCCACAAATGCCTACTTAGCAGAAGAGATTGGGGCTAGAGGTCTGTTTAGATTTAATTTCAAGGCTTTGAAAGGAAAAGTCATGTATTTTATTTCACATATCTTTTGATGATTTGGAATTGCATTAGAAAGTTGACTTCTTGGGCACTGAAGGAAACCAGGACATGGATACAAACCTCATGACCTTCAGCAAGTCAGTGGAATTAAAATGAGCCTCATCCCACACCCCCTCTCCAACTCTGTATCCCAGGAGCAATGTCTTGCTCCCAGAATGGTGGCTCAGGGGTGGTTTCCATGCTGAGCATGTCTTGGCTGTGGTGCTGAGGCATGGGGTGCTGTGACCCTCCAGTAATTTTGGTTCATGAAAAAGCAGGTGGTGGGAAGGTGAGATCACACCTGGGGCTCTTCAGTGCCAGTGCAGGGACCCACTGACCCCGCTCTCTGTATTAAGCAAGTGCATTTTCAAGTACCCAAATTGTTCTTTCTTCCTAGAGAAACTCTTTTCAGCGGCTGCTGGTGATGCTGCTGCATCTGCATTCCTGGCTATTAGCTCTGCAGCCCTTTGTCTGCTCCCTTCACAGACAGAATTACTCCCTTCTGTAACACAGAATTACACAAAGCCAGCACCTTCAGTGAAGCATAAATCCCAGCTTTTGCTGAGGTCAAGTGCTCCCCCTCTGGTATGTTCACCCACTATGTTCACAGCATTTTAGACATTGTCTTGTCTTCCTCCAGAGCGTCTTATTTCGGCTACCATAAGACTGCACTAAATCAAACGCTGCTCTGCTCCGATACTTGCTGAGTTTCCAGAGCAGAAGGGATGTTCTTGTGGTTGCTGTATCTAAGAACTAGATGCACGGCAGAGACTGATTTCCATGGATTCTTACCTTAGGGATTTACAGGATCTTCAGTAAATCTGACCCCTGGGCTCAGCTCTTCCCTCCCAGTCGCAGCATAATACCCCACTGCATTTGCTGCCTGGCACTGCTCTTGGAGTCAGCATGGGACACATGCCTGGTTTGGAAGCAGACCCGCAGGGCTGGGAGGGAGCAATGGGAGCTGTGTACAACAGCACTGCAAAGCCTGAGACCTGCGTAATGCTCAGGAAGAGGGGAACGTGCCAGTGAAATGATAAATTACAGCAGCAGAATAAACCAAACATAATCTCTAGCAAAAGAAAAAAGTCCCAATGATGAGTGTTTTGGCAGCAGATCAGAAGATAATATGGCACAAGAGGAGAGGAACAACTTGTATTCAAATCTGCTCCCAAGTCCTTCAGCTGAGAAAGGCTAAGTCTGTGCAGGAGAGCTCAAATTTCAACCAGGAAACACTTCAGTTAATGTACCAACATTTTTGCCTTCATGTTTCACCTATTTTACCCATTCTTCCTCTGCATGAGAATCCAAAATATTGTTTCCTATTTGATAGCTACTGTCTGTTACCTTAATTGCAACTCTTGCTGGGGGGGTGGGGAATACAGAGCACTGCATGTTCCCCATGCCCTAAGACAGAGAATAACTGCATGGGAAATCACTAAAAGAAATTTAGCGCTGGAAAGTAAAGTGATCATGTGCTGAGAAAGAAAGGGGCTGCCTTTCCTGGTGCTTGGATGCTAATGATGGGCTCTTCCTGCTGGGACTGTCTCAAGAACACACAGCATCCTTATTTTTCTGTAAAGAGCTGAATTCATTTTGTTTGGCTTTTTTCCTTTTTGTGGGGGTAAGGACTTGCACCCAGGCTGAGAACCAAGCAGTCAAACAGAGACTCTAAACCAAAAGGCTGGCAAAAGAATAAGCTGTAAGGAACGATCAAATAGAACGGAAAGTATTACAGACCTACCAATGCTTCTAACTGTGCACAGCTTATCAGTTCAATAGTTTTTATATTGGAATAACTCAGAGCTAGTTAGATTACTCATGATTTTCATCACATTTATTGGATCAGCATCAGTGTTCAAATGGGAGGTATCTGCATGTGCTAGAACAATGTCTCTCTAACGTCAACAAACATCTGCTGTGGCAGAAGACCAAAATCAGCAAAGGCTAATTCATCGATGGCTTATTATTTGAATCTGTGTCCCTGTCTCGAGTCAGGCTTGTGATGGGTTCATCTGCTGCCTCCTCTCCCCAAGCTGCCTTTTAAGCAGTCGCTGGCATTTCGTGCTGCCCTTAGGTCAGGTCCAACTCGATCAGCATCGGTTTATTATGAAATGCCCAGAGTGATTTTACTCATCGTGTCTATCTCAAAACAGTTCAAGAGAAAGTTTAAATATTATTCCTGGCTCCTTCAGCTGCCAACTCCAACAGCTTTTTCATGAAGTTTCCATGCTGCTCTGTAAAATGGTAAGAGTTCTTTTCCACTGATTTACATTGGCCTAAAACCATTGAAGTAGGCTAAAAAAAAAAGAAGAAAGGATTCCATTTGTGCTTTCAAGGCATTTCTGTGTGAAACCCAGACTCTCATGGACCTGTGGCACAGATAGATAGCAGCAGAAGGGAGCTGGCTGCAGCTGGGTGCAGTGTTACCTGCCAGCATAACCTGCACCAGGGGTGATGAATATGTTTCAGCACACAGGCTGTGAACATTTTGACTAATCAAAGGTTATTAGCATCTCCCTGTTGCCTTTTGGTCTTGGAAGGCAGCAAATACAGGCTTCCCTGTTTCATCAAAGCAAAGATAACAGTAGGCTGCAAACACCAGAGCCTGATTTACAGTGCATTTAAATCCCACTAGGTAAGGGATGCTTGGCCTGATAAAGTTCAGAGCAGTTTGGTGCTGTGCTCAGGTGAGCAGGATTTGCTTGCCCGGTTCAAGGAGCAGAACCCAGGGTGAGGGTCTTGTGTTGAGGGCCGCCTGGGGCAGGAAGAGGTCATGGTAGCCCAGCAGGACATGGTGTCAAAAGAGGGTCCTGCTACTCACAGCCAGCTCAGACTGCCAACCACACAGCTTTCACGCCTTCGTCTTGCCCCCTCAACACATCCAAACCATTGCATGCCCTTCTCCCACCTGCCAAGGGCCTTTTCACCAGCACATTTACACAAGGACGGATCCTGAACGCATTTACAACCGCTGAGCGACCTGCATTGGGCAGATTGGTTCCCCACAGCAGTTGAAGGAAAACCTGTTGTGGAAAAAGCTGCGAGCCCAGCGAGGCTGCACATGGATTGCTGTGGCTCCTGACCTTTCCAAAGCCCTGTTGCAGAGGGCTGCTCCCCTCTCTGACCAAATAAGACAGCACAGTGAGGTCAGCCCAAACACACTGCTCAATCCTACTTGGCGTGGGCTGGAAAAGAGGGAATTTATCATTGCATTATGATTGTCTGTTGGTCCTGAAAGAAAAGGTGAGGTATGATTAAGAAGACATTTCTTAGACTGTGGACCCTTGCGTCCTATGCAGAGAAAGGATTCTGTAGATGTGGACAATGATAAGGATCACAATCCAAGTATATAATTTGCTCCATATCTCAACTTTGAAGATCACATTTTTGACCTCTCAAAGAGATGTTACAGCAGCACAAACATTTTTATTCCTTTTGAAAATGAAAAACACACATCAGGAGAAATTTTCATGGGAGGGCAATGTATGAAATGTATAACGCAGTGGTTTTGTTCTGCTTGCAGGTTCACGCATGAGAAAAGTGGCAATATAAACTGTAAACACAAAAGCAGTCATTCACATTCACAGCTGTGGATGTTAAAAGCTTCACAGCAGTCAGGTGAAGCCCAATCAGCCTAACAGATAAGGAAAATGAGGCACAGGAGTGGTCCTTGCCTGAAGCTGAACAAGTGGGTTTGAAGCTGGGAATAGACCCAAGCTCTCCAGAGAGCCAACACTGCACAGAGCCACTGCTGTTACCTGCTAAGGAAAAAGGAGCTGAGTAATAAACGCCAGTAGCAATGCTTCAGCAGCTTCAGGTGTGTGCTTTGGGTTGAGCATACCTGTGCATCAGAATACTGATGGGAAGCAGAAGGTGTTGGCAGATGGAGCTGTGATATCCTTGTGCTGCAAGCACTGGAATGGGCCAGGAGATACTAATGTACCAGTATATCGGTACCTGTGCCATTCTCAGCTCCAGCACCAGAGCAGTGTCACTGCTGCCAAAGGCACAGAAACCCTGAGGAAAGGAAAGAGGCTGCAGAGTGTATGAGTGTCTTACAGGGCCCCAGTGTCAGGTGGAAATGCTGTTCATCAATTTGTAAACTGCCTCTAAAGATGAACTGCCGTTTAAATTGGGTTTTGTAAAAGCAGCTATAAAACATCTTGCCACACAATGCCACCTCCTTTATAAAGTGCTTGTGCAAAATGCTCCCCATGCTCTGTGCTTCAGACAAGGAGGTGTGGATCATTGCTATGTGGTGATTCAGATTGCCTGCGATGCTCTAACTTGCACAGTTCACAGCCCTCCAAGAAAATGATGGGAATGATGGGAACTCAGAATAAAATGTCCTGGTGCCAGGGGCTGCCTGGGCTCCAGTTGTGCAGTTCTCCAAGGGTGAAGCACACGGAACACAGTGAATTTTGGCCAGGTTAGTGCACTGAAACAAACTGCATCGAAAAGGCAGGACACAAGTATTTCCTGACAGCCACTGCAAGGAAACAAATAAGTTGCAATCACAGAGTTTAACTTTCCATTCTGCCCCATTACTTCAAAGCTTAATTACACCATTTAAAGGACATTGGATCGATGGTAGGAGCAGACTGCAGCATTAGCTTACCCAGCAGAACAGCCCTTTCTCTGTCTCTGCCACGCTAAATAGCTTGTTTGGTCAATACTCCCTTTGCTGGGGTAGTTTAGGAACTGAACAATTTAATCACAGCTTAGAGGCTGTGAACATTTAGTGAAAGGCTTGTAGTTTTTGGTCTAATATATTATCTCATTACAAGTCTTCTATTAATTTCAGGAGGTGTTTCATGTATCTCTTGTCCAAAACCAGGAGGTCCACACTTGAGAAATGCCTGCAGAGCTGGAGGCCTTTCTGTATTTCATGCATTCCCTTGCCCTTTGCTGGGTTGCAATGGATGCTGTTAATGGAAAACATTCCTTTCTCTCTCCATCTCGGGCCAGCTGACTTCTCTTTGCCGAACTTCCCCCACCACATGGCTGACTTCCCCATACTGCTCCGTTGATCCTGATTTGGTGGCTTTGCCACTGTCTTGCTGAAAACTAGTGTTCTTTCCTAGGTGAAAAGCACCACATGAGCTCATTTTCTGTTTGCTGAAGACAAAGCACCTAAAATGTATGGTAATGTACATCAACCTCTTCAGTTGCTACTTAGGTATTTCTCTTTACTCTTTTTCTGTTTTGTCTTTGCTTCCTTTAAAACAAAAAGATTCAGCAGGGTCTTTTATACCAGTGTAGACACATTTTATTCCACATTTTTCTTCACTATGTGCTGTTTTCAGCTGAAAGACTCAACAATTAAACAGCACACATGCTGGACAGCAAGGTCCTCTTCTCACAGTGGTGGTGACCCAAGCGCTGTCATGATGTCCCCTGCCCAAGCTGACTTATTTCGCCCGAGTTCTGTTCATTGCTCTTAGGAGTGCTTAGTATTGATGGTTGAGTGACAGTGCCTGGACCAAGTATTAAAACTGCATCGTCTCATTGCCATGAAAAATCCTTGAAGCAGAAATCATAGAATCATAGAATAGTTAGGATTGGAAAGGACCTTGATGTTAAATTTCTTCAGTGCTGCCTGTGTCTGAAAGGGATATGGCAGAAAACAATTCTGCATAATCTTGTTAGACTAATGCTATTATTTTTAATGAACCATTTCAGATGGTGCTTTGAAGTAAAAAGGGAGAAAAGGATAAAATTTCCTGCTTCTGATAGTTCTTTCTGTCTCAGAAAAGAGAACTTTGGCACAAGCAGTAGACATTTGCTAGGAATTAAATGTTGACAGTGAGCATCGGAATGTCCCAGTTTTCTGGTCTGTGAAAACAGAAAATGCTGTCTCTGTTGCAGGAATATTGAGAGAATAAATACGTTGATATTAGTGCAATACTTCAAATATTTATGTCCTGGTCTTGCAAGGTGTTAACATCCTGTGGTCTGCACCTGGGAAGGTCACAGAGAAATGTGTGTATCCTTTGAGGACAAGCAAAGGGAGAACCAAGCATTGCCACACTTGTGGGTGTTTTGTTCTTACCCCATCCCAGGCCAGTCCAAATGCTGAGTACCCTGCTGTGGTTTGTGAAAGAAGAGAGAGATTTAACTCTGTAAAATAATGCCATGCTTTCAGAGTGAACTTTTCAGTGAAATAATTTATATGTCTCATTTAAACTCTTCTCTTCAGCTTCATGCCTGAAAGGTCTGTCTGCAATTTTGTCTAATAGTCAATAGGCATTCTCAAATGACAATCTGGGTAATAGTGACTATTATTAGAAGATTAAGGCAGCCAAATTGAGTACGCTCTGGAGAGACTTTTGGTCCTTGCTTTACGCACTTCTTTCCATATAAAACTCTTTAACAGCAGACCTTTTAAGAAGCGCTGGAGTGTGCTTCGAAAGGGGAGGGGGGGGTTCCGAAATATCACTGCAGCTCTCAGCCAGTCTTACTCTGCAAACTCCTGATTCTGATGCTGTAGTGTGGACAGGTTCTCTGCAGGTATCATCAAAAATGAGAAGCTGAGCAGTGAGTCCCTCTCATGCTTGGTTGACCCTGAGCTTGCTCCTGGGAGCTCTGCTGTGGCTCCTCAGCCTGTCCTGGCCCAGAAGGAGGGACCCTGCTCCCCACCTGGGCAGGCTTCTTGGTTCAACAGGCTGCACGGAGCATTTGATGGATGTGACTTCTTTTGCTTCTGTCATCCTGGAAGGTCTGATTTAGAGGGAAACAGACTGCCAACAGATTCCTCAAAAAGTGTTTAGTGCTATCAGTTACTATCACAATAAATGTCACAGCTAGATTACATTTGACTCAAGGCATAAAACTAAGGTAGAAGCATCTTACTGGTCATTGAAAAGACATCCCTCTACCTCCAGCAATGGCTCTATTTGAAACCCCTGTGTGCGAACCCTTGGGGCTCACTAAACGACAAAGGTTGTGTGTATTGATTAAAATATGTATATAATTGTAGCTCATAATCTTGACTGCTACTTTGGGAGTACAAACAAGACAAAATATAAATTACTGCTTAAACTATTTATTACAAAGAGATGATGCCAGTTGATGTGCTAGCTATCACATAAGTAACCTCTGACGCTAAATAGTAAACTCACACTGTGGTGCTAAGCCTTATCGCACACCCATGCCTTAGCCAAAGACTGTTTCACACTACATCTTCTCTGTGTTGCTCCAGATTTTTGATTGATGCTGTGTAGTCAATTCAGTCCAGGAAAGAATGAGTAAAGCTCTTTCTTTGGAAAGGGGCTGGGTTTTAGCTACATTATGGTCCAAACCTTGTCCTGGTTAACTTGTGTTGGTCTGATGGGCTGTTCAGGTTTTCTGCACTGGCAGATGTCAGATCTGAAATGCTGTTATTTTGGTTGGCATGGTGAATATTTAATTCAGATTGCTATTGAAAGGATTGTTTTGACACGGACTTCGTATAGTCCCATCTCAAGAGTTAGTACTCCATGGTGAGATTTTTCTGTTCTAAAATTCTCAACATCAGACTAAATTTAGTCATGTAGAAATCAATAAATTACTGGCAACTTTAACAGAAGGGCAGAGTTAGGTCAATGTTAAATGTTTTTGAACAATCTTACTTGTGGTATTCAGGCTCTTCTCCTCTTTGGTTGGGAATGACATGACAAGAAACTTTCCACTGCTTTAAATATTAAGGAATCTCTGAAAATACTTAGAAGCAATCAATTCAAAATGTTCCACGGTTTGGGCTTTGTTTTTATTTTTTTTTTAAGTACAGTATGTTCTGCAGATTTTCATCCAATTTACATGCTCGTGTCCCAGAGGCTTGTTTCCATCGTGCATTTGTATTTCTGTCATAAAGTGCATCCAATGACACGTACGTATGAGAGGCAAATCCTGGTGGAGTATCAGTTTTAAGAGCAATCTACTAAGGGCAGCAGAAGACGAGCCACTTGTTAAGAGCACAGAGAGGAACAACAGCTCTGTAAGCAGCACTGGAGCTGAAGCACCGTTTGGGGACAAACACTTCTTAACGTTATTAAGTTGTGTGTAACCAGCTGGGAAGTTTGTTAAACTCCACTTAGACATTTTCTTTGTCTCAACAGTACATATGCAAATAAGCAGCTTTGGGAGATTTGCTTCATGTTAGGCTACTCTACCTCCTACTAAGCTTTTCATACATTTCTTTTTGCTAATAGAACAGGGCACGTAGTTTACAGAAATGCAGGTTGGTCGCTGCTGGTATTTTAATTTAAATGAATATTTGAGGGGGTTGGGGGAAGTGTATTTGTTCTCTGTTTTGGTGTTCTGTGTATAATAACAAGTTTTAGTGGCAGTTCAGCAAAATAAACTGGCTTAGTATTGCTACCAAAATGCCAATGTAACAGCAGGAAGTATTCCTATGGAGGAGAATAACTGTCCTCACTCTGCAGGAGTCCTTGGGTTTAAATCTGCTCCCTGGGACCCGTCATGTTCAAATAGGCTCCAGCTGAGTAGGCGGGAGCATTTTGCCTGACCAAATTCTCCTGGCAGTCCAGACTGGAGGAGTGTGAGAGGCTTCGGCTTCCCAGTGCCTCTCCCTGCAGTGGGAAAGCTGCTGCGGGACAGCCCACAGGACTGCACCCCGCAGGGAACATGCTCCCAAATAACCGTGTCCTTGTAGTCACCAAGGCTGAGGGAGCATCCACAGCTCCTCCAGCAAGAGCACCAACTGAGATGTCCTTTGATGCTTCTAAGCAACAACTGCCCCACTGTGGTGTGAGACCCCGGGTGATAACAACACCCGCCTCCATCCAAGCCACTCCACTTCTGTCCCTGGAGG